CCCCCCCCCCCCCCCCCAAAAAAAAACCATCATCGCTGCGCGCGGAGCTTACAATTGGAATGAAGTAGAGAATTAAAAGAATAAAAGAGAAATATAGAGAATGAATAAAGAGAAAAGTAGAGAGTCAAAACTTAAGTGTATATTTTGTTGAGAATCAAAACCCGCATTTATAGGGTTCAATGAGATTTACAATTCGAATGAAGATTCTCTGAACTTGATAAGACTCGTCTATGCATGATGATAATACTACATATTCATCAATATTTATTTTATAGTTTTACAACACTCCCCTTTGATGATTGTTCGCAGAATAATTATTTCATTGAAACATTGTTTGGCAAAAATTTGATGGGACAAAAATGTCAACAAATAAAAAGAATACAAATAATTTGAAGTAATAAACCATGCCTCGTTTAAATCTTGTCAAAAAATTTAATGGGACAAAACTTGATTGAAGGAAAAATAATACAATTACTCCCCTGGTTTCAATTATCAAGCTATACATGTCTTGTATGTTAATATCTATCTTCAATATTGATGTCTTATACATCAATGTCTTTAAGAAAATCCAGTGGATTAAAACTTGATAATCAATGATTCAAAAAATAGCTCTTGTTAATCTTTTCAAGAGTTTCATACATATTAAAATATGATTTGAGGATAAATATCTTTAGGCTATGGACATTCATTACACAAATAATATGACTTGTTAAAACTTTATTAGGAAAAGTCCCGTGAAAAAAAACCCTATTGAAGGAAAGAGTATATTATTTTTTTGAGTACGCTACGAAAATTGCCTCATTTAACATCTTGCCAGGAAAATGCAGTGGAGCAAAACCTTGGTAAAAAAAAAGAAGAGTACAAAGCGTATTCGCTCCTCCTCGTGATAGTATTGTTTAAATTATATGCTTCAAGCATATTAAAATTTTCAAGGTAACATTAATATTCATGTCAGATGAATTGGCTATAGTCAAATTTATTATGTTTATATCAAATTCCATGCGTTGTCAGACAAATAAAATAGAGACTTGTGATTATATCCACTACATGATAATTTATCTATTTATATTAGTTTTCATGAAATTCATTATGTAAAGAATCGTATAGATTCAAAAACTTCATGTTACTCTAGTAAATTCAAAGGATGTTTGACACCCATTTTTTGGAGAATGTAATTTTTGGAATAGTGATTGGTGGGAGAATGTGTGATGGGAAATTTTTAAATTTGTGTGTAATATTATTTTATTGGGAGAATGTGTTGTTGAAATGAAGAAAAAGAAAAAAAATGAGAATGAGAATGAGTGTCAAACAAATGTTCAATTTGTTGGGATTGCATATATTTATTTGGCCAATCATTTATTCGATCGATATACTTTAATAAATTTATTCGATACCCTCACCATTCATAATATGAAGCGATACATTATGTACAANCCATTCATAATATGAAGCGATACATTATGTACAAAAATATTGTCGAAAACTTTTTATTTTTCGATTCTATTTCTTTTTCCATGACAATATAACTTATTGAAATATATCTCAATTTTCAATATTTTAGGTACCGGAACCTCTTTCTGGGTTTTATAATATGTTGTATCTAAATGTTTATCAAGACTATATGCCTCTTTAATAAGATCGTCTTTATTAATTGCTTTATTTTCATTTGGAGATTTTATATGAGAGTGCCATAAATTTATCAAATATCATATTAACTAATTGTCCTTCGGGACATTAATTCGAGTTGGAGCATTGAAAGTTGGTGTGAGATATGGTTGATCTCTTTGCTTAGTAAATGCTTCTAAATATATTATCTTTTTAACTTCTTGTCCGAGTTATTCTTTGCGAGAATTTAGATATTGATGGATTTGTACATTATTTTCACTCTCTTAATTCATCTCCCTAATGCTGAGAGAATTATCCAATCAAATTGATAATTTGTAAAATATCATCCGTTAGGACTTGAGATGTTGTACAAGGTCAATGGTTTAAATTATTCATTTATTCTCAACATTCTTTACTTTACATTGAGTGCATTATGGTGGATTAAATTTGTATGTATTACACTAAAAAATAGTTAAATGGAAAAATTAGACTTTGATCATAAGTCAACAATAACATGGTGAACTATAATCTTGGCATGATGCATAATAGTTTTTCCTAAACAGAAATGGGAAGTACTTTATTTTTAATTAAATTAATTGGAGGCATTTAATAAATGATAGTATTAACCATTTATTGACATCTCAACTAACATTTATCAAAAAGTTGAGATTTAGGGTCACTAACATTAATAAGACACACTCTTTTGATTGTATAATCTAAAAATTGTGCTCATTATTTAAAAATTGAACAGTAATTTTGCAACATTCGGGCTACGGATCCCATGCAATCATCTAGTATATATATTAAATCTATTAGATATAAATAATATTTGAATGATCAACGTAGAGGATGATGTGATCCCATTTATTGCCCTAATTAATTTTCAAAAATATAGAGAATTCAATCCATATTTTAACTAGTGATGACCGATTTTCAATAAAGAATATCATTCCGATCTTGTAAAATGAAATATGTACAGACAAAGAATTGACGAAGCATTATTTATAATATTGACGGCAAAATTCGGATCTTGGAGAATTCATTACAGACATGCATTAAAAAAAGGAAAAATATAATCACTATGAAAAAAACATGATTTGCTACAAGTTGGATTTCGTTATTAAAAAATAGAATGAGCTCTTC